TTAAATATATTTTGCGGCTTTAAATAACCTGCAAAGACTTGATAAGCCGGAAAAAAATGAATGAACCAATCAATCAATAAACGATACAGAGGTTATGGCTGACAGACATATCTCAAAAAAACAGGAGGGTTCATTTAAGCCCAAAGATAAAACACTAAGGGACTTTGGATTATTTACCTAACCGGTTCCTTCCTATTTTCTATATATTTTCATATATATATATATATGTGTGTAACTAAGGCCCGCTCAGGATAATTGCATTATAAATATCAATTAGGTTCTCTGAGTGTTGAAGAGACAAAAAATGTGTGAGTAAGCGTCTGCAAAAGTGATTTGCTAGTCACCTTAGTAGACGGGCATACTCCGAAACAAAAAACCCGCTCTTATATAATCATATTTTATTATCTCGTGAAGAGTCGGCGAGTGTATGGAGTCATTGCTATGGTGGTTTTTCTCAGTTATTCTGCTCAGGGTAGATCCAGAGGTCCATCAATTGTGCGACAGTTTTTTTTATGCCAGTCTAAGTAGATCTTTTCTAAATTCTGACTTCTGAAGTTTTTACACAAGAAAAAGACTAAAGTCTTTGTCGTTCCACGATCTTCATTCTAGTTTCTGGTGACAAATTACGTTCTCTGTTTGCTGCAACTTTCTCAATAATAATCGAAAAATAATATTAATACCTCATTCTACTTGATTAGAGGCAAATGAAGTGTAAAAATGACGTCTTTACACGAAGTGACGATGATTTTATGATAAAATATTATTTAAAGATAATTACATTACAATATTACGGCTACTCCTCTCAAAACAGGAGTAATATTTTGCCGGGATAGGCTTTGCACTCCATTTCAGACCAGCACAAGGAAATCAGGTGCAGAGGTGACCTCAGCTAACCCCCAGCCGGGATGTGGAGGAGATTTGCGATTCAACTGTTATCAGTGATGACGAGAAGTGAACACCTGTGGGTCTAACTTCGCCTGATAATGTGCGTGCGTGAGAAAAAGCATTGGACAAATGGATATATAAACAGCCGCCCCAAAGAAGAGTTGGTTAGTCTTTCTGACATATCGCAGGCTAACATGTAAGCATCATGTGTCATAAGAGGGCTTGAGGCTGCACTCCACACACTGGTCGAGAATAAATGACGAAGTCACGAGTTTAATAAAAATGTAACGTAGCGAAAGATTCACCCACTTCATAGCACAGGCATCATCTTTTTAAAACTATTTTAATTTTATCTATAAATATTAAGGTATCAAATGAATTACATTCAAATAATGACTGGTGTTCTGTTTGTACGAAACATTGTAGCGATATTTTTTTTCGGGACACTAGTTACAAATATTCTGAAGAATAAAATATTCTCCAACCCAATTTACAAATTAGTAATAATAATAATAACAAACTGTAAGAAACTGGTATGAACATGATCAAGACACGGTTACAGAGATAGGACCTGTAACAGGTTTATGGGACTTTACAGTACACACAGACAGAACAATGAAAGCTAATCGCCCAGACATCATGAACAAAAACATGAAGAAGAGAATGTGCTTTCTTATTGATATAGCAGTCCATGCAGATTGTAATGTATTTTTAAAGATCAAAATACAAGGATCTTCAAGTGGATATCTAAAAGAATTTAGAACATGAGGACATCAATAATTCCAGTTGTGGTTGGAGACCTCGGATTGATTGGAAAATGTTCCGATAAACTCATTGAAGAGCTTCCTGATCGTCCATACCTTAAAGAAATACAAAATATTGTACTCACCCATACAATTCACACACTACGAAGAGCTTTATCTATATAAAATGTGTTTTTGTTTTTGTTTTTTGTTTTTAGAAACAAACATCAGTGGAAAATGTCATGATGCCATTTCTGACCTTAGGTCCCTGGTTGGGACCCGGAAGGAAATGTGTATAAAACAGAAATCCACGGAATAATAATAATAATAATAATAATAATAATAATAATAATATGGGAGCTTTTGTTCGCGCTCACCCCAATAATAATGATCCGATTTTTGTATGTTTACGTTTATTACAAAAATTATAAATAAAATCACAGGAAAGACAAAACAAATGATTATTAATTGCCTCATAAAATAATGATATTTGTGAAACAATGTCTTCATTTTGTTAAAAGTATTTTACATATCTTTATATTGAAATATAACTGCTAATTATAGAATATTGTCTTACTTATGCATTTGCAAATAATTATAATATAAACTCTTTAGAAAAGAAATAATTTTCGTGGTCTTTACGCAATTTACAATTAAAAAAAAGCGATTATTATTTTGAAATTGGTTTGTTCATGTTCCAAAATTAAGTAATGCCATTATCTGCATATATCTACGAACATACAGGCTGCTTACTGTCTGATTGCAATGATTCATTTTCATTGGTTAATATTTACGTGGTTACTGAGACAAATTCGTGAGTTCTCAGTAAAAAAAAAAAAAAATCTTGCAAAGATTCCCTAGTCGAAACGAATAGGGATTTATTCTTAATTACTGTATTAGATCAGCGTCAGCAAATTCTTTTGGTTGAGGAAAATATATTCATTCAGTGAATCATAGAAAACCTTGTGTGTTATTCTACATGATGCCCAGTAAAAAAGGCGGTAAATTCAGAAAGACATGAGGCAACCGTTGAAAACTGGTGACGACTGATGTGACTGAAAAATCCAGGAAGAATTTCTGCACATTTCGTCAATCCCCAATCGGATGTTCTTCTTTAAAAAGTACGATAACTTGAAGCTCAAGATCAGTGAGTTGTTTAGCAATACGCGAAGAGTAGATCGAAAGACGAAAGTTGTCAGCAAATAACCTTTAAATGACGAGTCACTAGATCGAGCAGCAATTAATCAACCATAAATGAACTAATCAGAGTTAAATAATTAGACGAGAGTCGAAATGTTTATTTAGGGTTATGAATATTCAAGAAATTTATTCAAACTTATTCAAGGTTAATTATTCCTGAAACACAACAACAGAGATAATAAATTTGCCACTTTTTTTTTCTTTTACTGAGAACTGTTATATTGTATTTCTGCGTAAGTCGGAAAAACTTGTACGTTGATTACAATCGCATAATTTGGGCGTCTCACTGCGTAATATTGGTTAACAAATCAGACTTACATTACAACTATAATGCAATCGACCCGTATTAGGCAACGCAAAATTGTTGCCTCGTACTGTATTCAGCTAGGTTTAGTATATATATATATAATATATATATATATATAACTACTTAGTGATTAGCGAGTTTGTTTCAATGACCAAATTACTGCTGTAGCGAATTCGGTCCTCACAGAGTACCCTATATTATAGTTTTATTTGTTTTTGCTTAACGGCATATCAACACCTATGGATTATCTAAACATTTTTGTACACAATTTTATTTTATTTGGAGATAATAATAGTTTAGTGATACAAGTCTTACTAATTAAACAATAGCTGTGGGGAAGAAGAGGTAGATTTATACCTTTCCCAAGAGTATTTGCGCGTAAGTGAATATAATGAACCCGATTGGAATTGGAACTCGGCTCCCCGATTAACAATTACTGTTACACAACAAAAGTATTCAAAGCAGTAAACCCATCGGAATACTGACTAGGGTTGACGTTGCTTAATTTCGGTGATCGTACGGGAACCGATGGTTCAACGTGATGTGGCCGTAAGCCTATAGTCTTGTACTTTATTGAGTTTAGTAAGTGTAGTATATATAGTCGCCTTGTTCTGTTGTAATGATTAAAACGTGTTATCAAAAATGTTTATTTACTCTTCTCTATATATTCTTATTCTTCACTTTTTCCTCATTTCTCCATTGTCACAGGCAACAAATTCTCGAATGCGCAGGCCGATAGAGGTAATACACACTGTTTAATAAAAAAAAATGGGATTTCTATTTCAAATACAAAGTGTCCACTATAATGGCATTTGAAGTAATAAAAATGTCGGGCTAAAATATCACTTCAGTTTCACGCATTATTGATCATCTGTCTTTGAGAAATGAAGCAAGGTGTAAGCTATATATACATATATATATATGTGTGTGTGTGTGTGTGTGTGTGTGTGTGTGTGTGTGTGTCACTACCACACAAAAAAGAGGATGTTTAACATCCAGAAAGTTTAACATCGAAAAATATAAGAAAAATTAATTCATTTTAATAATATATGGAAATATCCACTCTTTGCCTGAAGAAGGTCGCGAGACCCGAAACACGTGTTGCAAAATTATGGAAAATAAAGCATAATATATGTTTTTAAAAATCCACTTTACAACCAAAAACGTTTGCTGTTTCTCTCTTTTTTAATATATACACTTTTCTCTCGTTGGAACTGTTATAATTCCCTATATATATATATATATATATATATATATATATATATATATATATATATATATATATATATATATATATATATATATGTATGATGGGGTGCAACAGCTCGGTTTTTAAAACCGAACTAACTGTATATATGATTTGATTATAGTGGGGAAAGCATTTTGATCGTAAAACATAATTGATCACAGCTCAGAAGGAACAAGGATCGGTTATAGACTCCATTCTGATCCAAGGTAGAAAAGCATAACAGTTAGTAAATACAAACAAGCAGAATAATAATATACACTTTCCAGAAACTACACTGGGCAGTGCAGGAAATATCTCCCCTAAATTAGTTATTTGATGCTCGGTCATTGAAATACTGATTATCAATTTCCTCAAAAGTTATGACTGATTCGTTTTTACGGCTTACAAACCCATTGCAAGTTATTTAAAGTAAGAGAATATTTTAGATTGTAAAATTTTTTTTGATAATAATGATTTAGTGATACAAGCATTACTAATTAACCCATAGATGGGGAGATGTGGATTCATACCTTTCCCAAGGGTATTTGTGTGTAAGTAAATATGACGAAATTGGAACTTGGCTCTCCGATTAACAATTCCGAACCATTATCCATTACACCATCCACACATCAAAGTTTACAAAACTTGGTATTCTCAAGCGGTCACCCATCTAGGTACTGACCTGGCTCGATGTTACTTAACTTTGATGATCGTACAGGGACCGGTGTTTCAACGTGATGTGGCCGTAAGCTCTTATAGGTTAAAGTAGTGGTTCCCAAACTTCTTCTGTCGGTTCCATGATTTCCTGGCCACACCCTTATGAAAACACTTTCCTGTTATTAGGTATACTGCAAATTCAAAACAACAAATAATCTAACACTGCAAACACTCGTATGCATTTCGAATTTTCTCAGATGACATAAGATGTCGACATACGCACATCCTTAGCTATATCGCTACACCTACAAACCTAGCGTAATGGTCACTGCTGATGTCAATTGTCTGATCTAGCTGACGTATAGCATGTCCTGTCTAGATAACATCATCAAGATGCAAACAAACATTTAACTTCGGGTAACAATACAGAATAAAACTATACGTTATTATTTATTTTTTTATTTATTTATTTCATTTTTGTAAAGCTTACGTCTTCCTGAAATGTGACTTAGTTTTTATCATATAGATTTTGTAAAAATATAAAAAAAAGTAAAATTATTATTTGCTTCTAATGCCATCCTTCCGATGTTTTTTTTTTTTTTTCTAACCCTGTCCACCTTCGTGAGGGTGGAAGTGATACGCTCCATTTTGGAAATCCCAGAATTACGTTAACAGTTTATTTGTTTAGAATATCAAAATATAAACGAGTTTATTTATAACGTTCACTTTTACTTGCTATGCTTCAACCACTACAGCGAAGCTATCCCAATGGAGCTGGTGACCCTAGCAGGATTTATTATCGGCAGGTACAATATGATACTGTGTTGATGGGGGGCACAGAAGGGAAACTACAGCTCCCCCCATCTAGACAAGGTAGTAAAGGAAAGCGAGGACTAATCATCAAGTGTAAAAAGACAGAATGTATGGCTTTCAGCAAAAGAAAATGTCCAAGTTGCAAACTTCGATTTGGAGATTTCAACATCAAACAAGTACAGAAATTTGAATACCTATGAAATATTTTAATGTGACACCGAAATCCGAAATTGCATTGTAGCGAAAGTTGCCTTCCTAAAGCTACACAAAGAAACAGAAATTTCGTTAGAAACAAGTGCTGAACTGTTTTTTTTTTGTTTTTTTTTTGTTTTTTTTTAAATATCAATACTCTTCTATGGCAATGAATGCAGGACAATCTCCTTACAGATGAAGAGAAAAGCTGGAGGCAACAGAGATGCGGTTCTACAGAAGGAGCAAATAAGCAACGAAGAAGTCTTAAAGAAAATGGAAACAAAAAGAACACTTATACTCAGAATTAGAAAAAGACTGTTGAAATTTATTGAGCACATAATGAGGAAGGAAGGCTGAGAGAATTTGACACTCACATGTCCAATTTGCTTCAGTATGTCACTCACATGACATACTGAAGGCAAAAGGAACAGGAGAAGACAGCAGATCACTTATCTGACGAGTTGATGTGAACAGATGGTTGAATGGTTGGGGTGCGTAGGCAAAGAGACAGACGTTACTAACTCCTATAAGGGGTAGGATGTTGTGGAGAGCCATGATCGCCCACGTGCTGAAAGGACATGTCACATAGAAGAATGAAAATGAAACCGATATTATGACCATTGACAACTGCTAAGTTAAACAGCTGTCAACAAATCTACATATAGTGTGGTGTGTTGAATAAGTTCTTGATCAGAACCTATTACTAAATTCTGACCAAATTACCAAACAATTTTTTTTTAACTCTCTTCTTGGTCAGGCCGAAAACATTTCATTAAAATTCAATTTGTTTATTTTTAGATTTGGTTCGGGGACACGCCCAGATCATTTCTTACTAGACAAATAATTCTTTGTTTATTTGTTTTCTAACACTGTAAACATTTATACATTTTGGGTTGGGTACCATAGATTTTACAATCTTCAAAATTAATGCTAGATGTTCGACATTAAAGGTTATTTTATTTTAAAGGAACTTATAACGAATAATATTAAATGATTATCAAGAAAAGAAACCGCAAAATGGATGATATGAAGTCTCAGATTTATTAACAAACCAACAAACTATAGCTGCAAAATGGTCATCAATGTTGCATTGCCTTTATGTAGTTGAAGGGGAAATAAAAATAAAAAGGTACTGTCCAGCACAGGGGTGTAGCTCACAACCTTCCTTCAGTCAACTAGCTACAGACTTTAGCTTTTAGTGGAGATTGGAATAAGATAATCCAATGGAGCTCCACAAAAGCCAATGTCTTTTCTCTCAAGTCAGGTTATATTTTCTGTTGCCTGGGGAATTCACTCTGAATTTTAAATTTTTTTATTATTTTTTAATTTTTTATTTATTAATTTATTTTGCCTTATTGCTGAGAAAGTCAAGAGGGGAGAAGTGGAGAAAAGATAAGACCAAGAAGTCCAAAAACTATAAGAACAAAGACTATTATTTAATTTAAGCTACACATTATATATATATAATATATATATATATATATATATATATATTTACATATATTACTTAAACACCATTTATAGTGAATACCCATATTTGAGTAAACGCTCCGTTTATCCTTTCTACAAATATTTCCATGCCAACTGCTCTGAATATCTTTTTCCCTGGTGCCCCGACTACATGAATTTAAGCATACTACTAGATTGGCATCTAGGTCCCAACCGTTTACTTTTGAAATAACTAAATGCAACCACCACTTCTACTCTAACAGTTTCTTTTTCGCACATCAGACCTTTGGAACTCACTTCTATTTCCTTGCTTGCCTGGTAACTACAATCTTTAAAAATTTAAATGCAACGTCAATCGCCATCTTCTGTCTTCTTGAACCTCGTTCATCTTTTGTCCTTTTCTCAATTCTCCCTATTCTCAATATTCTCTTTCATTTACACTCCTTTTAACACTCTGCGTAGTAGTGGCGTTACCGCCTTGCTTTGGGTGAAATGATTAAAAAATGTATATTTATTTTCGTCTAATGTTACAAAATAATAAATAAATAAACGGACGGCTAATCAAATATGTATATCCACTAAAAATATGTTTAAGTAATAAAATCAGTTTCAGATTAATAAATAAAAATCCATCACACACATATATATATATATATCTATATATATATATATATATATATATATATATATATATATATATACTGGATTCTCCTGTCGTTTTCGAGGTATGAGGATCAAGCACTTCAGTTCTTAGGAGCAACAGCCAGACTACCTGCATATATCATTTGCTAATAGTGGTGAATGCTTGGGTAGAACCAACCCACTCTTTTGGGGAGAGCTGAATCCAGAGAACTGGTGCACAGTATGCAACAAGATCCTCAAACGACCCTCCGCAGTTTTTGAATTCAGGGTTGTCTTTCTCCTGCACCGTTCGTCACGCAAGGCTATAGGAACCAGTCTGTCTTGTTATTTACCCATATAAGAAGAAATGGATTCATACCTTTCCAAAGGATATTAACATATAAGTGAACGTAACGAACACGACTGGAATTCGAACTCGGCTCTCTGATTCTTCAATCCGAGCCGCTATCCATTGCTCCACCATATATAAATATATCGTTTTACTAGATATTTTTTTTATTTGAATACTACTACGTCTGCAATACTGTGTAAAGAAACAATATGGAAGATAATGCATACAATCTTCTTTTATGTACCATGTCCCTTTTGGCCGTGGGTACTTATAACTATGTACAACGTCTGTTTTTTGTTGTTCTAAATAAATGTTAAGCCTTTACCACCCATCCTTGCCTCTGTTCTCCCTTCCATTCACACATACTAATTAAGTAGATTACTCGCTGTTTCCCTCTACTTCTCTTGTCTTCACTATGTCCTTGTGGGTGTTAGATTCTTCAGGCTCTCTTTCCATATATGTTCCAGAAATTTCACCTCCCCCATTTTGATTGTAAACATAAGTGTCCGTTCAGTTCTTTATGAAATTCTCAGTGTGCACATGTTTTATCTATGGTATTCTTAACATATGTCAGTAGAACCACATCTCATTCGCATCAAGACCGTTTATCCTGTGGAAATTGCTCAACATTTACTGCCATATAGAAGATCACATGTTACATAACAGTTCATCACTCTTTTTTTTTTCTTTTTTTCTAATAGTATTTCTTAGTTTTTCATACTTTGCTTAGTTTCTGGAAGATATAAGAATATAGGTATATGATTAAAGACGAATGACGTCTCATGATTAGCTTTCGTAACTTAATCACTAAGGCGTTATTTTGGTAAAACAAATGCGAGTTTAAATGTCGTCGAAGGCTTATTAATTATATTCAGATCAATGATTTTTAGTTAACAGATGTAAAAACAATCTGTGCTTTGCGATAAATAGCTACAAAAATAAGATTAAAAAAATAGTGAAAAAGAATGTGTTTCTCCTTGTTATTGAAAGTAGAGATTAACGTCTTTTTTTTAATATCTTTAGGGATTAAATCCACCCTGTTTGCGAAGTCGCCCAATGGGTGGCGCTTCCTCATTTTGTTTGTTCCGAAATGTATCAGGGAAAAAAAAAAAAAAAAAAAAAGGACTTCTTTTTACCTTTATCCGCCTAACAGGCCGTTTTCTTAATTTCACCCAGCCACGTGACACACACACACACACACACACAGTTTCTAAGTCTACAAATATTTTTCAGCTGTGTACACGCATGTATATTTCCTCTAGAATTATGTTATTCTTTATATAAAAATATATTGCAATGTTATCGGTCCTGACCTGGCATCTCATCTTCAATCATTTTTCCACCGCCATAATATATCTTCCTTGTGTTTTTTTCTATAGATATTTTCATGTTAATTATTCTGATAAGCTTTGCTCCATGGTACCTCGATATTAGGTCTCATCATTTTACAGTTGAAATGGCTAGATGTAACAGTAAGTTCTATGTTAACAATTTCTTCACTCTTGTGAAACTTATTTCTAGCGTCTTACTTTCCAGTCAATATTGATGTTCAAAAATTTAAAAGCACTATCAATCTTTATTTTTTTTCTTAATATCTGTTCTTTTATTGTCCTCTCTACTTAATCTTTTTTTTCTTATTCTTTCACACTCCTTGGTTGCAGTGAA